CATCAAAAACCTCCCAAGACACAAGAGTCCAGGGCCAGATGGCTTCCCAGGGGAATTCTATCAAACGTTTAAAAAAGCAAAACTTCTATTGAGAAAAAAATGGAAAACTCTTTCTGAGGTAATAAATACTTCAAACTACCTCTTAAAAGCCAAAGGGAGGGATCCCTGGGTGGCGCAGCGGTTTGGTGCCTGCCTTTGGCCCAGGGCGCGATCCTGGAGACCCGGGATCAAATCCCACATCGGGCTCCTGGTGCATGAAGTCTGCTTCTCCCTCTGCCTATGTCTCTGCCTCTCTCTCTTTCTCTCTCTGTGACTATCATAAATAAATAAAAATTAAAAAAAAAAAGCCAAAGGGAGTCAAGTCAGAGCATGGAAGGCTTACGACATCAACTTGATATTCCAGAATACTATATACTTACCTCTTCCAAGGTTGTCAAAATTATGGCTAATTTCATTGGACTGGTGCCTCTTACTTGAAAGAGCCTATAGGTATCTGTCATAATCTATGGTATCTGAATGTGAACTCTGCTGCTTAGGAATGTCACAAGTTCAAAGACATCGTGTTGAGTGCTCCAAGCATTTAAAAATGACAAGATAGACACCTCAGGATCCTTTCAAAACTGAGCTACTAGGAACATGCTAGTATACCTGTGAGTGTCAAGACAGATGGTTCACAAGGGAGGCAGATGTAGCATGTAGCTCAATCTCTGTTTTGGACATGGATATCCATGCAAATCTCTGTCCCTACTTCTTTCCTTGAAAGGATAGAAGAGTTCCATGTATACTCCAAATCTCCATTTGTGGTTTCTAATTTAGTGGAATTTTATGACATTGTCAAATATTTTGCTATTTGTCCTTCTATATGAACATAAAACTGTACTATATTTCAGGTTTTATATTTTCACTAGAGTAAAAATCAAATACAGTCATGGAAAAATCCTTGAGAAAAACTATCCATATTTCTTACAGAGAAAAACAGCAATATAAATTTATAAAAATTACTTAGTTTTGAAATATGATTGGTACTTAGAAGTCAAGAAAATACTGAGTTCAGCTCTGTTCTTAATAGTATATATTTCTGGGGTGCCTGGGTGGTTAAATTGGTTACGTGGCTGCCTTCGACTAAGGTCATGATCCCAGGGTCCTGGGATGGAGACCAGGGATTGGGCTCCCTGTTCTGTAGGGAGTCTGCTTCTCCCTCTCTTTCTACCCCTTCCCCTGCTCATGTGCACACTCTCTCTGTCTCAAATAAGTAAATAAAATCTTTAAAAATAGTATATATTTCTTTTTCTTAAGAGACTTTGATTTTCAGACATTTTAATCCATTGTAGGTCTTTCTATTCTTAACAGTCAAAAGCTATTTGTCCTTCTATGACCTATCTATGGCTATCCCCAATCTTTAACTATACCTATCTTACAACATTTACACTTCTCTTTTATTTAAGTAATAAATACATAAATTCACATGTTATTTCTCCCACTAGATTCACCAGAGGTTAACAGGAACAAATTCTGTGTCTACATATATTCCTACAATGCCCAGTACAGTTTTTTAAATATTATCGTATACATGAAACAACATCTGAAATTAATGATGTACTATATGTTGGTTAATTGACTTTAAGTAAAAATATAATTATAGATATATAATGGGCTGAAAGATAGTTAACATGTTTCTCAGAGCACACTAGTTAACAGGATTATTCAAGGAACAGGATATTGTAGCTCATGTCTGTAATTGAGCTTTACTATCAGAATCAGTTCAAAAGTGACAGGTTAAATTATGTTTAAAGTCCTGAGGTTTAATAACTTTCCAAAATGTGTTTGAACAATTTCCTAGTTTTGTAAATATAAGTTTATAACAGAATAAGATTTCTCTCAGATGAGCAAAGATCTTGCTATAGCTTACATCATTACTCTGAACATAGTTAACCATTGTGCCATACTAGACATGCACAGAGTGAATTAAATTTAAATGAAGTGAGTACTGATTTCAAGAAATTTCTTGAATCATATTATCATGCCATGTCCTCCTCAAAGATAAACAGAATTATACAGAGAAATTTGTTTAATTGAGGATTTAAAGTATTTACTTTTCAGTTAATCATGGCTTTGTTGTACCATTACCAAGTATTTCTTGCCAACTCCGTAAATGAGCAAGATATCCAAACACCATTTAAAAATATATACTATGCAAATATATATATGTATGTGTACATATGCATATATGTGTGTATATGCAATCACTGTGATAAGAAACAGTTTACAGTGTAAATAGGCATCCTGCAATTCTTCATGGAAGTTGTGGACTTGTGCATTTATTTGTAAAAAGGATAAAGAAAGTATTAAGTGAGCAATATGTGTGCTAATCCCCTCTTGACAAAAATGTTCTCATTGAAATGGGAAATTCATATAATGCCAACTGACTTTCTAATTTCAGTTTTGTATTCTCTGTACATCATCTGCACAGATTTCACCATATGCATTCTTCTTTTGTGTCAATGAAATGCAAAAATATGACAACCAAAATATCAGTCCCAAGGAAGGGATGTGCTCTATTTTAAGGAAAATATTTGTTTGTACAAAAATACATCTAAAAGAAGTATAAAGAAACTATTCAAATTCTTGGAGGGGTGCCAGGAAGATGGCAGAGCTAGGAGAACCCTAAGCTCATTCCATCCTATGTTTACAAATAAATATCACTCATATCCAAGTAAATAAACCAGAAAACAATCCAAAGACTAGCAGAACAAACTCCACAACTAAAGGTGGAGAAGAAGCCACATCAGAGACTTTAAGAAGGGCAAAAATGGTGAGCAGGAGCTGCCTGCAGGAGGGAGGAAACTGCTGTTCCAAAGAGGGAAAAACACCAGGGAGCCCACACAGGAGACACAAACCCCCCTAACATCCAGCCGTGAAAACCAGAGAGGCTGAAGTCTGTGAGTTTTTATTACCAGCAGGACTTGGAGGCTGGAGCTTTAAAAGTCAGCAACATTTGCAATGGGTGAGCCATGAGGGCAAGTGTTAGCCAGGTTCCCACCATTAAAGAGACAACAGCTCAAGAAGAGATTTGTCTCTTTTTGAAGGGACAGCTTGCACAATGTGAGGGAGATCTGTCTATACTGATTTTAGAGCATGTTGGGGGACTGCTTTGGGAACAAAGAGCTGATAGTCACCATTTTTATCCCCCAACTCACAGCATAATCAGAAAGCCACTTGCAGAGGCAGTGCTGCACCAGACACTTGATATCTAAACTGCTGGCAGAGTGCCATTCCCACAAGTTCTCCAGAGAGCTCCCCACTCCAAGCCTGCTTGACTTGGCCCTGGACTCAGCACAATTTTTTGTTAATGTTGTACACCCCACCCAGCTATCACACACAGATGTGGCTTTCCTCAGCCACTGCACTCCATGCACACAGCCACCATGCACACAGAAGTCAGATGGTGCAACCAACCACCTGATGCACAGACACTGTGCCCAGCCCCTGTGTACACAAAGGTTATGGGCCCTTGTCCTACTGTGCACCACACCCCGAGACGCAGTGCTTCAGGGAATCACCTAGGACTAGCTGCTCATTGCGAATTTTCCTAACACTGGCACCTCAACCCTGAGCCCTTCTGCTTTCATTCCCCAACAGAGCCAGCCTGCCCAGATCTCACTAGCATCACAGAGAGCAAACACAACCTATAACATGAAAAGCCAGGGCAGAAAGCTGCTGTTTGGCACAATTTAACTTCTCCATCCACAGCATTAACAGAGGATCACCTGCAGGAAGCAGCCCAGCACCAATATTGGCTGCCTCCTTGTTTAGACCAAGCCCTGAGCTCAAGTTAGACTACCCTTCTCAGTCAAGCTTGCTTCAGTCCAAGCCCAGGGGTCCCCTCCCCAGAAGACAAGCAAAAACTTTTGCCCATACAACCTCGCCAAAGGTGGAAGAAGTGATATGTCTCATTTAACAAGCAGACCAGAACACATCTAGTTAAAACATACAACATTCATGCAAGGGATCAGAAACTATTGACAGCATGCGATGAGGTCTTCTGTGAACAACTGGCCTGAAGGATAAAGCATCCAAAACAAAACAGCACAGGGCATGCAACACATACTAGAGGAACCCCTGAAGTGCCATGTCCTGGGCACTACAGGAACTTGTCTTCTTAAGGACATTACTTTCCAGAGCAGCAGACATAACTGGATTTTCTAATGCAAAGAAGAAGGCAGAGACTTAGAAAAAATGAAAAGATTGAGGAATTTATCCCAAATGAAAGAACAAAATAAGGCCATGGCCAGAGTTCTAGTGAAATAGATATGTTACAAGTAAGATGGATAATTTAAAGCAGGGGATCCCTGGGTGGCTCAGCAGTTTAGCGCCTGCCTTTGGCCCAGGGCGTGATCCTGGAGCCCCAGGATCAAGTCCCGCGTTGTGCTCCCTGCATGGAGCCTGCTTCTCCCTCTGCCTGTGTTTCTGCCTCTCTCTCTCTCTCTCTCTCTCTCTCTCTCTCTCTCTCTCTCTCTATCGTAAATAGATAATAAAAAAAATTTTAAAAAAAGCTGTAATGAGGCGGGAGCGGGAGAGCAGCGGCCAGAGCGCCGGCTGGGGAGACGTGCTGGCGGTGCGGCGGGCTCCGCGCTGCAGCCCCGGACAACCGAGATCTGCTTTACTGCTTGCGCGGGCCTGACTTTCCCATGATGGAGTTGTCCACGGAGGAGAAGACCTGTTCCGGGTGAGCCCAGGCCGCCCCGGAAATGCGATGGCCGAGTAGCGGGTACCAAGGACCAGGCTGAGAGGTTGGGTTTCGAGCCAAGACCCTGGATTCTCCTAGTTAACATTAAAGAGCTCTGAGGGTGTACCTGTGAAAATGGCGTGATCTGCATTGGCCTCCCACAATCTGAAGGCATTTGGCAGTTAAGGAACACACATGGACTCGTGGCACATGGAAATGTGTGAACAGAAAAAGGAAATCTATGATTTTCTAAAAGTAGGAAGGCATTCTTCCTCACCAAAATGGATACATTCTGCTCAGTTATCAAGTTTGAAAATCTCCAAGAACTAAAGAGACTGTGTCACTGGGGTCCCATCATGGCCCTCGGTGTTATAGCAATATGTTCCACAATGGCCATGATTGACTCTGTGTTGTGGTATTGGCCTTTACATACAACTGGAGGAAGCGTGAATTTCATTATGTTGATAAACTGGACTGTCATGATTCTTTATAACTACTTCAATGCCATGTTTATTGGTCCTGGCTTTGTCCCTTTGGGGTGGAAACCAGAAAATTCTCAGGATAGCATGTACCTCCAGTATTGTAAAGTCTGCCAAGCATACAAGGCACCACCGTCACATCACTGCATAAAGTGTAACAGATGTGTGATGAAGATGGACCGTCACTGTCCTTGGATCAACAACTGTTGTGGTTACCAAAATCATGCTTTGTTCACACTGTTTCTCCTTTTAGCACCACTGGGTTGTATTCATGCTGCCTTCATTTTTGTTATGACTATGTATACACAGCTTTATAATAGGCTCTCCTTTGTGTGGAACATGGTAAAGATTGATATGAGTGCATCCTGGAGAGATCCCCTTCCAATTATTCCCTTTGGATTAGCAGCATTTGCGGCCACCTTGTTTGCCTTGGGATTAGCTTTAGGACAACCATAGCTGTTGGGATGTTGTTTTTTATCCAGATGAAAATAATTCTCAGAAACAAAACTTCTATTGAATCATGGATTGAAGAAAAGGCTAAGGATCGAATTCAATATTACCAACTAGATGAAGTCTTTGTTTCTCCATATGATATGGGAAGTCGATGGAAGAACTTTAAACAGGTATTCACATGGTCGGGGTCCCTGAAGGAGATGGACTAGCATGGCCAGTAAGAGAAGACTGTCACCAGTACAGCTTAACAATTGAACAGTTGAAACAAAAAGCAGATAAAAGAATCAGAAGTGTGCGGTATAGAGTAATAGAGGATTACAGTGGTGCCTGTTGTCCTTTGAATAAAGGAATCAAAGCCTTCTTCACCAGCCCCTGCACTGAGGAGCCTCGAATAAGGCTACAGAAAGGGGAATTCATTTTAGCCACAAGAGAGTTACGATACTGGTTGTATGGAGATAAAATTCTTTTTAAAAAAATTTTTTTATTTAGTTATGATAGTCACACACAGAGAGAGAGAGGCAGAGACGCAGGCAGAGGGAGAAGCAGGCTCCATGCACCAGGAGCCCGACGTGGGATTCGATCCCGGGTCTCCAGGATCGCGCCCTGGGCCAAAGGCAGGCGCCAAACCGCTGCGTCACCCAGGGATCCCTGGAGATAAAATTCTTGATGATGCCTCTGTAGAAGGTGTCTCACAAATCAGAGGCTGGTTCCCTAGAAACTGTGTGGAGAAGTGTCCCTGTGATACTGAAACAGATCAAGCCCCAGAGGGCGAGAAGAAAAATAGATAGCCACTGTTATAGTAAAATTACTCTTTAAATCCTCTCCATTACTTGAAAATTGTACATATTACTACAGAATTATGCAATGACCCTACTCTGGGCAAGGTGTTCTTTTCTTCAAAGGTGCCCTAGTGCCATAATCTAAATATTTTTATTACCATTTTGAAATGGAGAAGCCATTCTGCACATGCCTTTGAATTTCTGCCCCCTCTTTGCCACCTCTTCCTCTCCTCAAAAGGAAAAACACTTCACCCAAGTAAGTCAGTTGCATTTTCTCTAGGATTTTTTTATGCTGTGCACACTATGGACCTCACCTGCAGATAGAGTTCCCCCGTTTGCCAGGAGCATCTGTATGTGATGTTTTTATCTTGTTTCCCCCTCAGTTGATATTTCTTATATAATATTCTAGATACTATAGAACATAATAAGTCAGATTCAATATAAGCTTAAATTTTATTGCCTGTCTTTTAATAATGCAAATTTTTGTCAAATCAAATAAAGATCAATGGATGTTCTATATAAAAAAAGCTGTAATGATTAAAACTGTATGATATTGGCACAAGAATAGACACATATTTCAATGGAATAGAATAGAAAATCCAGAAATAAACCCATGACTTTATGATCAATTAATCTTTAACAAAGAATAAAGAATGTCCAATGAGAAAACAGTCTCTTCAACAAATGGTGTTGGGATAACTGGACAACAATATGCAAAAGAATGAAACTAGATCACTTTGTTACATGATACACAAAAATAAATTCAAAATGGATGAAAGATCTAAATGCGAGAACAAAACCATCCATAAAAATCCAAGAGGAAAACATTGGTCATAACCACTTTCACATAGGCCATAGAAACATTTTTCTAGAAATGTCTCTGAAGGCAAGTGAAACAAAAGCATAATAAACTATTGAGAGTTCATCAAAATAGCAAGATTCTGCACAGTGAAGAGGAAAAAAATCAGCCAAACTCTAAGACAGTCTATAAATAGGAGAATATATCTGCAAATGACATATCTGATAAAAGGTTATTATCCAAAATATATAAAGAACTTATAAAACTCAACACCCTAAAAATAAATGATCCAACTAATAAATGGGCAGAAGACATAAATAGACATTGTTCTAAAAAAAAGATATCCAGATGTCCAAGAGAAACAAAAAACAATGCTCAAATTCACTTATGATCAAGGAAATAGAAGTCAAAACTATAATGAAAGGGAGGGGCAATATGGGAGAAGAGTAGGGGTCCTAAACTCACCTGGCACCACAAACTTACCTAGATAACTTTTAAAACATCCTGAACACCTATGAATTCAACCTGAGATTTAAAGAGAGAACAGCTGGAACGCTACAGAGAGAAAAGTTTTCACTTCTAACAGGGGAGAAAGATGAAAAATTTTAAAAAGAATAAAGAATAAAGTGGACTAGAGGAACCATGACTAACAGTGCTAAAGCAGAGCATCAAAAGCCTCCAGGGCAGTAAAGCCCAGCCCTGGAGAAGTGGGAACTTTAAATATCCATGCCGGAATTTTCTCTGTTGGAAAAGTGCTTAGCAGGGAAATTGGACAGAATCAAAGGAGGGGCAATGAAGTCTCAAGATTCTTGGAGTCACTATAAGAGAAGGGGCAGCCAGGGGAAGGTTCACCTCAAACCTGAGTCCGATATTGGTCTGGTATCCAAATGCCCCAGCCCTGTGGAGAAGCCAGTCAGTTAGGCGGGCCAGCTCCAGAGCTGCCTTTACCCTAGAGCCCAGCAAAGGATAGAGGTGGCTATACTTCATTCCCTTGAGGAAAAGTGGTCCCCAGGAGCGAGGGTCCAGTGGCACTGGGCCCGGATACCAGGGCACCCAAGCAGACAAAGCCAGTGATCCTTCATTCCCTCTGGGACAGGTGGAAGTGGGGAGTGCACAGGAAAGTAAGAACTCTCCTGCCACTGGGCGCCCTGCAAGCTGTACAGATCAGTGTACATGCTCCTGGCCCACGGAGCATCTAGGACTGTGTGGACTGGGAGACTGTGGTTAGTAACTCATGGGGAGCTCCACTCCAGAGCTGGAAATCTGGCAGCCACCATTGTTGTTTTTCCTCTTTGTTTCACCTTGTGCCTGGAAGAGGCGGGGCCTCTAGAGAACAAAGGCCTCATAGGATAAACAACTCATACTGAGCCTAGCACCCAGCAAGGGGCAGAGCAGCTCCACCCAGGCACAAACACCTGAGAATCAGCATAGCAGACCCCTCCCCCATAAAAACTGCTGGAAGTCCAAGGGAAAAGCAAGATTAATGCACAAGCAGCACTGGAAAGCTCCAGGAATGAGGGAAAATAGGATATAGAACTAGAGGGTACTTTTTTTCCCCATTAAGATTCAATTTTATATCAGACTAAAAATTTCCAATATTTTTTGTCTTTTTCGACCTTAATTACTATATTTTACCAATTCTTCATTTTTAAGTTGTTTCTTTTTTTTACTTCCATATTTCTACAAATACATGTCTTAGATATAGTTTTCACTTCCGGATTCCCTTCAATGTATTCAATTGAATTTTGGTAGATATACGAGATATGGCTTTTTTGTTTTTTTTATGCCTTGCTTTGGTTTATAATGGTGGAAGTTAGTACATTATAGAACAGGACCAACATACATCCAGAAACAAGTAGAATACCATGAATACCATGATGGTTCATTCTGTGAGATTATATTCTCTCTTTCTTCCCATTCTGCCCACTCTTTTACTTGTTTATATTTTTGTGGTCAATGTTGAGGCTTTATATAAGTATTGCTGGTGTACTTAAAGTTGGGATTCATCATCTTCTAATATACACAACAAAATACACTCAGAATCAAGAGGATCACCCTCTAGGACCCCTCAGGTAGACTACATTATCTCTCCACTACCAATTCCTCATCAAAACCATCCACCGCCCCTTTTTTTCCCTTTTCATTACTTTTTCTTCTTTTATCTTCTTTGTTTTGGGTTTTTGGCTTTGTATTTTTATTACTTTGCTTTAAAATTTATTTTTCACTTTAGTGGTCTTGTTTTATTTTGTTCTGTTCTTCTTTTTACCTTATTTTCTGGTCTCTGACCTCTTCAGAATTATCTAGGATGTATTTTACTCAGGTAGTGGTTGATATTTTTGTCTCAGCACACTTACAAAGCCACTCTCCACTGGAGAAAATACTAGAAGGAAGAATTCACACAAAAGAAAGAACCAGAGACAGTATTCTCTGCCACAGATTTACTGAATTTGGATTTTAAAGTGATGTCAGAAATTCAATTCAGAAGTACAATTATAAAGCTACTGGTGGCTCTGGAAAAAAGTGTAAAGGACTCTAGAGACTACAGTACTGCAAAATTTAGATTTAATCAGACCATAATTAAAAATAGATTAAATGAGATGCAATCCAAACTGGATATTCTAACTGCTAGGATTAATAAGGTGAAAGATACAGTGAGTGTCATAGAAGACAAATTGATAGTAAGGAAGGCAGCTGGAGAAAAAAAGAGAAAAACAATTAAGAGCCCATGGATAAAATCAAGGAAATCCTTGATTTCCTTAAAAAGTAAGAATATACGACTAATTGTGATTCCAGAAGAGGCTAAGAGAAAGAGAGGACCACAATGTACATTTGAACAAATCATAGCTGAAAACTACCCAAATCTGGGGAAGGAAAAAGTATTCAGATCCAAGAGATAGAGAGGACCCCTCCAAAAATTAAGAAAAACCATTCAACACCTCAACATTTAATAGTGAAACTTGCAAATTTCAAAGATAAAGAGAAAATTCTTAAAGCAGCATGAAACAGAGATTCTTAACTTATATGGGGAGAAATATAAGATTAACAGCTGACTGCTCCACAGAGACCTGGCAGGCCAGATAGGGTTGGCATGATATATACAGGATACTAAATGAGAAAAAACATGCAGCCAACAATACTTTATCCAGCAAAGCTGTCATTCAGAATAGAAGGAGAGATAAAGAGCTTACAGGACAGACAGAAACTGAAAGAATATGTGACCTTAACTGGCTCTGCAGGAAATATTAAGGGGGAACCATTAAAAGAAAGAAGAATCCTAAAGAAAGAATCCATAAAATCAGGGACTGAATAGTTAATATGATGACACTAAATTTATATCTTTCAATAGTAACTCTGAACGTGAATGGGCTAAATGATCCCGTCAAAAGACGGTGGTTATTGGACTGGATAAAAAAGCAAGAGCCATCTATACACTTTCTACAAGAGACTCATTGTAGACCTAAGGACACCTCCAACCTGAAAATGAAGGGTTAGAGAACAATTTACCATTTAAATGGTCCTCAAAAGAAGAGCTGGGGTAGCTATCCTCATATTAGATAAATTAAGTTTATCCCAAAGACTGTAGTAAGAAATGAAGAGGGACACTATATCATACTTTAAGGGTCTATCCAACAACAAGACCTAAGAATCATGAATATTTATGCTCCTAATGTGGGAGCCACCAAGGAAATCAATCAATTAATAACAAAAGTAAAGAGATACTTAGACAATAATACACTAATACTGGGAGACTTCAACAGGCACTCTCAGTGAATGACAGATATTCTAAGCTTCTAGAACATCACCAAAGAAACAAAAGGCCTTAAGTGATACACTGCACCAGATGGATTTCACAGATATATACAGAACTTTCCATCTGAATGCAATTAAATACACATTCTTCTCAAGTGCACATGGACTTTCTAGAAAACAGAAAACATACTGGATCAAAAGTCAGGTCTCAACCAATACCAAATGGTTGGGATTGTCCCCTACATATTTTCAGATCACAGTGCTTTGAAACTGGAACTCAATCACAAGAAGAAATTTGGAAGAAACTCAAACACATGGATGTTACAGAGATCCTAGTAAAAGATGAATGCTTTCATCAGGAAATTAGAGAAGAATTAAAAAGATTCATGGATATATATATATATATATATATATATATAATGGAAATATATATATATACACATATATATAATGGAAATATATGTATACATATATATAATTGGAGTTCGATTTGCCAACATATAGTATAACACCCAGTGCTCATTCCATCAAGTGCCCACCTCAGTGCCTGCAACCCAGTCACCCAACCCTGAAAACTAATAAAAATGAAGATACAACCATTCAAAATCTTTGGGATACAGCAAATGCAGTCCTAAGAGGGAAACACATCCCAATACAAGCCTCCCTCAAAAAAATTGGAAAAAACTCAAATACATAAGCTAACCTCGCACCTAAAGGAATTGGAGAAAGAAAA